AAAATGACATCATTAAGCCGGAGCTGCATGTGCGTCTGCAGATTAGTGTGGGCGCACTTGGTGAATTGTAAACGCAGGTCGGCTTAACGCGGATATATTCAACTTTAACGCATAGACCACAAACGGAGATTGCTCTTTAGTCAAAATCAAATAAAAAAGAAAAAGAAAAAGGAATAAAATTCAAATTCGTTTATAGGAAATTGATCTGTCGAGAGTGCGGAACAGTCGCAATAATTTTCGATTTTAAATTGGAAAAATTTAATCCACAAAACGTAAAATAATCAAACTTGAATTGTAACATAAATTTCTGAAATTTATAAGTTCACCCTGGATTGAGCGTAAATTAAAGTGGTTTTCTCTTGGAAAACCACAAACAAATCCATTTTTATGGTTAGAGAACACTGACTATGACTTGAATATCGCTTACGGATAACTCGCAGTAAATTTTATATTTTAATGGACTTATTGGCATGTGATATTTCTTTGACTAAATTCGTGCATTGCTTTCTGGCTGAAGCCATAACTTCGGACAGAATGTATTGAGACTAAAAAATTTTTTTGCTTTCATAAACCTATAAATAGATCAAACACTACACATACCTATGAATGTGTAGCGCATATAATCACTATTAATGGGTAAATATATGTATAGATAATATAAATATAGTATATACTATATATACACACATTGCCTATCTGTATTAAATGTGCATAACATAAATACTAATACTAATACAAGATCTTCTTTAATATAATGGCAATCTCACAGCTGTAATTTAATTTGTGAACTGACATCTTATTTTAGATAATTTTTGATAAATCATCATGCAAAATTTACGTCCAAGCAGTATTTAAAAGTTATTTATATACATACATAAATTCAATCTAAAAAAAAATCTCTAACACCATTGGACAGACTCACTTTTATCTCACTAACAGAGCAATTCTGAAAAACGAGCTTTCAGCTCACCACACTCAAAAATTTTCCGAAAGATCGTTTGAAAGATCATTCGTATATTGGCATCGTTCCTTTGCAAGACTGGAAGCTATTTTCAGTTCATCCCTTAAGAAGTTCGTGTCTTAAGAGCTCCGTCTCTTAAGAAGGCTCCGAAAAAGTGCTTTGCTCCCAAAAAAGATTAATTTATGCCAAGACTCATTTAAAATGTAAATCAAGTATGTGAGTTTAGGTTTTTGCCCTTAATCATTATTCTGATTATACCGCTCTACTTCTGTTAGAAGTAGTTCTACTGCCGAATTTTTATGCAATATTGCATTAACATGCAGTTATTTAATAATAGAAGTGATATCTTTTTTAAATATTTCTTTAAATTATTATTATATCTATTAGAGGAACATTTATATTTGCATTAAGAACATTCAGGCATACTCAACTTAAAACTGCACTTCGAAGACATAACCAGCTTAACTGCAAAGTTAAGCTGCTCTGCTATAAGCAGCTTATTCGTCCTCTCCTCACTTACGCTTTTCCTATTTGGTCAGCCATCACTTCCGCTCAGATGGAAAGAATCCGCTTGTTTGAGCGGAAACTTCTTCGCGATTGCACTAATTATAAGCGCAAACCTAATGGCAAACACTTTTCCATAACAACTCTCTATAACAATGCCAAGATCACTCGTGTTGACGAGTATCTTCTGTCACTCGCCCGTAGGTATCTCACCCGGCTCCATGACCTTCCCCCCGACGTTTCCATTCCTTCCACTCTCTCAGAAGACTTTGTTCTAGCTTTGCGCTATAAACCCCCCCAATACCTGACTCACTACTTCGACGAAGTGGACCGTAACCTCTCCACTATCCCCTTATATAACCGCGGCTTTCGTGACCCCAGTCACAAAGTATATTGTTGATTCCATCCCCGCTAGTTAGCCGTAACCCCTTCCCCTTCTATATCATCCATCCTACTTAGTTCATGCCCTTGCTTTCTGACTTAGATGAATCTAGTTCACTAGGTATTAAGTCTATTTTCTCATTCCTCTTTCCCATGATTACTGGAATGAAGTTTCCACATTGCTGTGGAAATCTTCTTCATTCATTCCTAAGAGGTGGTTTTAGTGGGCTCAAGTCTCACACTGTGGCTTTCGATGCTTTCCACCTACTGCAAAAAAAAAAAAAAAAAAAAAAAGAAAAAAAACATTAAGAACATTTTTCATATCAAATTTTTTTAAACAAAAAGAAGAATATGTATAATAGATGTGTTGAAATTCTCAAGAACTGATTGGAAAAATCGGTAAGAACCCGATGTAGCATTACTCTAACGCCACAAAAGAAATTTTGTCACAAATGTTGATTACTTTTGATATGTTTAATCAATTTAAAAATTTTTAATAAATATAAATTAAAGATTTCCAAATCTATTTCTATATATTGGATTCTTTTTAAGTATTAATACACAAACAGAACGCATTCCTTTTTAAATTGCCTCAAGATTTTATATGAAATTTGATTACTCATACTTGAAATTTATTTAATGCACACTTCTCGTGTAGATTTATTGAATAGATTTTAAGAGATTGCAAGTTGATTAGCAGTTTTAGCCACCGATTAAAGACTGTAAAATCTAATCTGCACAGTTGCTTTTAAAGTGCATGCAATTCTCCGTATTAAGTCGCAACATTGCATGTCGAAACTGAATATTTCAGATTTTATCAAAAAGTAGTAAAAATATTTCTCCTTCTCTGATACCCAAACCAACTGTCCTGTATTCACTACTGGATGAAGTATAAAATAATTTCAATGAGATAAAATCAAATGTATGTTACCAGAAAATGGAGGTTGCCTCCAACCTGGAGTAGAAATATAATCAATTTTATAGATAAAAACAGTTTGAAGCACTTTAAAATTATGACATTTTTAAATGAAATAAGTATTAAGTTCAGAGTATCACAGTATCACATATGTAAGATGTCAATAAAATATTTATGTAAAGTATTTTTGTGATTATATATGATTTAAAACGGGAAGTCAAATATATGGTTTGTGATATTACGAGCTATAAAGTTGGCAGGGTGTTTAAAAAGTATTATTGAGTGTACAAAAAGTAGACACTTCAATAGCAAAATACAATAATTACTCTACGTATTAATTTTTTAAATTAATTTATTATTTAATGTTAATTTTTCCTTCCTAAAAGTGACGTCTCTTATGACGAAAAGAAACCATTTAAAAGTTTGAAGGGTTCGAATAGAAACTCGACCATACAACGTTGTATAGTCAATATTTCAATAAATTAAGTAACATTTTTGTTGTTGTCTTTTCATTTCTAATCGAACCCTTCTTAATTTATTTATGTTGATTAATACAATGTAATTAATTTTTTATTTCTCATATTTATGCTCTAAGGAGATCAAAACTGCATTATACCTCGTACCATTGTCATCCCAAAGGCGATATATGCTATTACCAAACACTGGAAAACTTAGTCTCCTCACCTGACATAATTAGTAGTAGTATAGTTTTTTATTATTTTCTTTCAATTTCACATTTTTGGTGTTTAGAAATTTTTGAAAGGTTATAACTAGAGTGTCGATAATCTAAATAAATGTAATTTTGTTGCAATTTGTAATTAATTCTTAAGTATAAATTCAAAAACTTTCCTCTAGTATTCTTTTTCTATAGATGAGTGCGAATGTTACGTATCCGTAAAATACTTTCCAGTTTTCTCCGTGGAACTGGTTAATAGTTCTATAGTGTTGCGTCAGATTTTTTTGACATATAATAAACTTATTTCCTTCAAAATGGGACAGTCTGATATAAAATGTTTGACCTCTTCGGTAACTTTGAGATTTCATAAACTACACTGAGAATGTGCTCCGCTTTCGTACAAAATATAAGTTCTCCACGTAATTTAAAAATCATACGTATAAACTCTGTCTTATATTCATCTTTAAAACAGTTTATCTATTCTAAATTTAAATGTAGTTGACGAGAAGTTTGCCTTGAAAGATTGTTCCTGGCTTTATTAATGAAACGATGTTCTTCTAAAAAATCTTGTTTTATTCACCTAAGTACTCCATTTACATATTACCTGGCAGACTTAAATATATCGACTCTGTTAACGCTGCAAGATTTCTTTAAGGTAGTGTAAATATATCACACAATACAACGAATACAACACTCCTTTGTATTTTATTTTCATACATTTCTAAAATTTCTTAAATGCTTTCGATGCTCTCCTAAGAAGTGCAATCTGAAATGCACCTGAAGATAAAGGAATTTCCATGATAATTATAAACCTTCTAAAAGCACAATATAGTGACTCAAAAGCAAGAATTTTACATGCAGAAAAAATAAGCGAACCCTTTTTTCGGAAATAAAGGGGGTACCTCTTATCACCACTCTTTTTTGCAATAACAATAGACGCAACGTTGAGTTTTCTTTTTTGCATTTTTAATGCTTGTGTAAAATCAGTTCGTTTATATATATGGATGCTAGACATGGCTCGTAAACTCTAACATCCAGCAAAAGCTTCAGACCTTAACTAACAGGTGACTGCGAAACATCCTGAAAATCTGGTGGTCAAGGAGAATAAGAATTAAAGATCTGTCGTAAATAACTGAACAAGTAAATATAAATAAAAAAAAGACAAAAGTATAGTTGGATTGGACACACTTTGAGGAAATGTTACGATGTAATATGTCACACAGCGCTTAAATAGAATCCTCAGGGAAGTAGAAGAAGAGGGAGACCGCAGATAACATGGCGGCGTGCTATTTTCAATGTAACTACGAAAACATTTCGCGAATTACGATTTCGCGAAAAGTATCTGACAGAAAACGATGGAGATTCTATATTAATAGTTTATGTTCCTAATGGAATTTGACCAATAGTAATACACAGATATAAGGGGAAAAGACATAAGAAGAAATACGAAGTAGTTTTAAAGAGAAAATTTAACTTATTTATTGAATTATTTTGTTAACTGAATATTTGGCATAATATTTATTTTATGGAAAAAAAGAATTGTACGCCGGCAAAATGTTTACCATATGCTTCAATGTCAAAATCAACACGGTAATTTCCTTCAGGAAATGCAGAAGGAGCTTTGAAACCATAAAGTGGTACTTTCTCGACAATCATGTCACTCTGAAAAACGATGAAAATTATTTGGAAAGTTTTAAGGATATTGAAAACCACTGTTTTACCGTATATGGACAACTGTGATTAATATTTGTATAAGACTTCCATATATCATAAAACACATCTGCAGTTGGATTACGTTTACCATCCAAGTACTTACAAGCGTCCAATGTTATATTAATCACAAAAGGTTTGTAACCATTGGCTTTCTTCCACATAGTGAAATGGGCCTAAAATGGATTTTTTTTTTAATAAAAAGTACAAATTTAATATCTCAACTTGCATTCATCTTAGTTATTGGTTGCAGGAGTAGGGCGCGTACTGAAAAATATTTCGTTGTTCTATTTACCGGCTTCAAATCACAGTAAGCAAAATAACCAAGACTTTTGTTGTACTCATTACATTTGATACTATCAACAAATATTGTATTTGATATCCAATTTTGCTAGAAAATGATAAAAAATTTAAATATTAATATAGATATAAATTAAAAAAAATTAAATATTTTTCAAAAATTATAATAAATATACCAAAAATTCTATCAAGCGTTCTATCAATTTCTATCAAACAGTTGACGCATGGATTTTTCCAAAATTTCAAATCTCACATCTCTTCGTGGTAGCATACAGAAACCAATACGTTTATTTTTTTTTAAAGTGATTCTCCAGCTTAACAATTTTTAAACGCATATCTCCCATTATATCTTAAGGTATCTTTGGTATTGAAACTTTTTCCTTCAATTTCAATTGTACGACTATCAACTATTTATAGTCCCTAAGTAATAACTTGCGCCAGTGGTAATCCAGAATCATCATTCATTATGATATATATGTGGAAGAAATCCCTATGAGAAATTAGTTTCTAAATACAAATATGGATGGATCGACTACACCTTACTACAAGATCTAAATAAGGCACCACATACAGCATTGCAATGGAATCTGAAATTTCCCAAATAGACTACACCATACTACAAGATCTAAATAAGGCACCATATATAGCATTGCAATAGAATCTAAAGCTTGCCAAATAGATATACCGAAACAGACTTTGCAAAGATTAAATTCTGAAGATCCTCAAAGAATTAACTTAACTGTGCAAAGAATATTAAAAATCCGGTTGCAATTAGAGAAATCAGTTTATGTATTCAGGCACTATGAAATGAGCAGTTGATTAAATCTGACATTATATCACTAATTCTTTTATAAAACATGGAATATTCAAGACTAGTATAGATTTAAAAAATGCCAAGCCATTTTTTGATTCAGGTACTTTTACTAAAACTCAGATCGTTCAATTAATAATTCGTTGGCCTTTTTTTTCCTTTTCAGATATCATCAACTTTTTAATATATATATATATATATTTTTATATATATTTTTTAGTCATTATTCCAATTTTCCGAACCTTATGTTGGTATAGTGTGCTTTCTAAGATATCAAGGTATAAAGTTTTAAAGCCCAATATCTTCCAATTTCAATATCTCGAGAAAAAAGCTGTATTCAAGTATACTGCAGTGGAAAAGCTTACTTAAATAGTCGAAGTTCGGAGATAGAGTGAAATTTTTAAACAAAATCAATTTCCTGGACTACCTTATTTTGAATTTAAATAATCATCTTGTACGACTAAATCAAATTAGCAAAAGCAAATTATATTGAATCTGAATGACAGTCGTATTATTTGCATAATACTTTATTGAGATATAAATGAATATAATTGATTTAAGATAACTATCTAACAGGACTAAAATATAATCATTTTTAAGAAGCACATTAAGCATTTATCAAAAATAATCGGCAGATCTCGCTAAGAAACACTACCCAATTGAACAAATGTTGGATTTTATACTTAAGCCATAATTGATGTGGACTTATGCCCATAGACCTACTGGCAAGTGACTCACTGACGGGTTATAGCAAGAAGGAGCCAACATTTTGAGGCAAAATCCAAGTAGTGTTCTTGGAGAGACACAAGAACACCTACGGGTGATACCCTTGTAGCGCAAATGTTAAGCTCGGAATATAAGTGGCAGACAATAACAAATATGAAAAGTGTAGTAATGAGAGTACAAGGATAACTTGTAAAATCTCGAAACCCACCATTCGAGAGAGTTTTTGAAACCGGAGTCTTTAAGCCACATTGAATAACCGAGGGGTATGGCATGTGGAAGAATATATATGCAGAGTAAACATGACGTTTCTTGGTTTCAATAAATAAATTACTTGAATCAGTGCTCTAACTTCAACGTTTGTTCAACAAAATAGGGACATTCACTAATATTCATATCAGTAAGGTAATCAGCATTTATTTTATTAATTTTAGATCTATATTAATATTGTATCAGGTATTGTTATAGTATGTTTTTAAAATCGAACTGGAATAACTAAAAATGATGTTGTTTTAGATTTTCATGTATTCAAATATAATTGTCAATATTTTTTTTAAGTTATTGGAGTATTCCTATCTGTCTTGATTGCCAAGTTAGATATAATATACCAAAAATCTTTAGCGTATTGTACTTCAGACTTTCTCTAGAAAAAAAATTTTAATGCAAATTAAAAATAATTTTAATACAACAAAAAAATATTTACAATATTCAAAGTTGACATTTACAATTAATTAAATATATTATAAAAATATTTGTTGTTGCAATTTCACTACTGTTCGATAAAAAAAAACCACTCTATTGATATCAACAATTTATATTAAGTATTTAGTTTCTGTCGTCAAAAACGGGTGTTAAAAATCAATTCCACATTTACGGATTATTTACTATAGTAAATAATAGTAGAAACCTTTAAATATTTAATATTCTTACTTTTATTTTGTAAGTATCATAACCTTTTGTCAAAAATAATATGTAAATAAGAAAGCACAAAATATCCATTTTTACAATTCAAAAATAATAAACGAACTAAAATGCTTTTAGCCATTTAAATTGAACAAAAAATCACGATATTGAAAAAATAATATATGTACACTTATCTGAATAATTATATCAGATTCAATGCCCGTCATACACTTAGTTTTGTTAATTAGTAATTATTTACTTGTGACAATTTTTTTATCAATTATATATTTAAATTTATTTTTCATAAAACTGTACTACAAAAGTACCCACCTGTGTTATAAAAAACGCTAACTTACTGTCGGCAGTTAGCCCTATATACATAATACAGCCTACTAACTAAGCTTATTAAGTTTTTAGTGAAGAAAAATCATAAGGACTTGTATAATAAACTAATTATAGCATCACATATATATTACTTTAAAAATATAATTGTTGCTTAAAAAAACAGTAAAAATCTTTGGTTCCAAAAGCGGCCGCGTCTGTGTCCCGGAGCCATTCGTCAATTCCGACGACCAAGTGTCATGTAACACCCACCAAAGGGATTTCACAAGCACAGAGTTTATTTTTTAGAGTTATCAACTACTATTAATTATTTTTGTATTGAGTGGTATATCATGATATTGGTGCTGTTTCTTCATAGAATGCTAGCTATACCCTTCATCCGTAACTATATCTTATAGAAAACAAATGATTTCATTTATAAATTTAAAGAACTTTGACACTAAAATTTTAAGTTTTATAAAATAACTAATGCTTTAATTCATCATTTGTGTTAGTCTATAACTTAGGTAGCTAATGCACGCTATCAGAATGACATCTACTTACGACACACAGTGTTCCGAAACAGTATTAGCCGACTAAAATTCTATACTTTCTAAAACAGTAGTTATATTAAAATGAAACTTTTCATAAATATAGTTTTTGAGGTGGCCTGTCTCTTAAATTTTTTGAATTTAGGTTCAATTGGCCTACCGGAACCCATCCAAATTTAAAGCCAAACTTGGTCCATTTTCACATTTTCTTAGTTATCCTAAAAACTATGACAGATAGAAAGTTGAAATTTTTTTTCATAATATTCCGCCCGTTGCAACACATACCTACACCCATATAAAATTTTTATAAAAAATTCTTCATTATCGTTAAAAAAAATTATTATCTAATTTATCACTCCCTAGAGCATGGGGAGCTTATATTCCCCATATATATTGCACGAATTTAAAAAGCTTAATTGCACAATTCATAATTTCGTCAGCTGACAATTCTGACTTGATACGGTAGTTCCAGTCCGTTTTTCCGTCCGGGTATAAAGAGATGCTTTTAGTGGGTTAAGATCCCGTACTGACTGGCTTTTGATGGGTTTGAGTCACCGTTAACAAAAAAAACCCACTTTTGATTTTATGTAATTTTATAATAGTGCTGTCAACGTATGGTATTTTACCTAGCTATATATCCCACCTATATATTCTATAAAGGTAAAAGACGTGTCTTCTATCGTGTGTTCGGTGTACCAAATTTAAGAAGTAATGTTATTGGATAGTTTGTAATTTCTGTGACATCCATCATGAAAACATTTAAATAAAAGCTCTATAAATTGAACAACTTTTTATAATCTGTATTTATTTTTATAAAATCATTGGTTGAAAGCAGATATTATTTAATTGTTTACCGATAAATGAAAATTAAAAAACATCACAATCTATTAAAAAAAATTTTTCAATACTTTTTAATGATGTTTGATGAAATGATAAGTTTGATGAAAGCAATTTACTTTCATCAAACTTAATTATAATGTCGTTTTATAAATTGCATCTATCTTATTCACAAGAATTTGATATAAATTAATTTTAACTAAATCGATATATTTTTACACACACAACATTATTGTAAAAATAGTAATGCGTAGCTTACCTCAATGTCCTGAGTAAAAGGGTCTACTTCTAGGGTTCCACATTTGAAAAACGATTTAATAAAATATTTATGCTATAAGTATCGATACGTCTGCAATAGTACACTTCATATCCAGTTCTAACAATGTTATTTTTTTATCATTAATCAGTAAAATTATTTCAAGTTGCACGGATTTTATAAAACAGGAACTCACTTTAGAACTTCAATATATTTTAAGATCTGTCAGCCCTTTTCCTACAATCAAGAAACCATTTAAAAACATTGCAATCATCCGAATCATTTATTGAAGCCTATGATTTTAAAACCCTAGGAAAACGTATCAAACATATTTAACTCTACATTATGGTATGCTTACACACCTAGCTCCACCTAGTCATGATTCCCGCTCCAAATACTATCTCAGGCATTTAACAATAATTTGGTGGAGTTCTATCGCTATTACGATACTGATTCTATTGTACAGTTTTATATATGTACATTTTTTTCCCTTCACTTCGATGTAAAAAAGGTTCATTCAAGCAACAACATCAAAGATATTTTCCTAGATATGGGCGATATCAAATCAAAAGAAACTTACCACAATTTGAGTCATTTCGTTACGATAGATTAGGCTATATCGTTGATACAAATATAAATATATATTTTAATATTTTTAAACAAATGTGAACGATAGTTAATTTTATTTCAATAACAATAAAAGATGATTTCGGTCAATTAGTCGTTATTGAAATATCTGAAAATCTGTATAATGAAGATCCAATTTTTTATAACTTTTTCGTGATATCTCACGAATGGCTAAAAATGTTTTGGATTTCATACCTATTAATTGGTTAATTGGGCATACGGTTGAAATCCAACGACCACAAAAAATGCTTTATCATTGTAAATAATTCTATCCAGAAGTGCCACGTCACAGTCACATTTTGAAAATCTGTAATAAAGGAGTTAGAATATTCCCGAGATAAAGCATGTTTGGACTATAAATCTTAATGAGTAATTTTTCACTTATGGCACCCGACTGGAGGTCTAAATCTGTACCGCGAGGTTCAAGGCCCGCAGTGTTCTGACTAATTAATGTTGACAGTATCGTAATGGCTATGAATAAATAGCCCAAACTTTCGTAGGTAGAATGATTGTATTTATTTATTTTTATTCCATGTGAAATTTGCATTTTTCACAATAGTGCCAAAAGATCAACAGAGACGTTAAGTAGGCTCAAGTGGGAAGTTATGCCAAACATTTGTCTTTACATTATCTTAATACATGTGTTGAGAACACCGTGGAGTTGAGTATTGACAGCAGATAAACACGTTAATCACTCTGGGCTTCTGTTAATAATCTTATCTGGAAGTACCATGTGACTGTTTTCACTTAAAATTCTGAAGTACATACAATCACTAAAATAATAATAAGTCATTAAATTCTTTAAAAAGTAAAATACAGCCCAATGTCGTTAGAACCATAACCCGTACTAAGCATGAATTAATGGACGAGGAAAATTATATATCCCTGCTTCTTGCCAAAGAGTATTATGCCAAAGAGTATATTAACGATTTTGTGAAATATATATGAGTCAATATTTTCCTAATTAAAATTCGATTTTAAACAAGAATATAATAGCTATTATAATATGGAAGTTTTTATTACTAATAAATAAAACCATATTTTTCTACTGAACTGACTGGGTATGAGGACATAAGTTTGTGAAATTAATCTTTACCTTTAATCCATAATGCGAACTTAAAGAAATAATATATAAATTATAATAATATAATTTCGGGGCGAAATAATACTTACAGATTAACTGATTCTTATACAAAATAAAATTTTAAGTACGATTTTTTATTCAGAAAATATTTATTGAAATTCTTTCGTGTGCAGTTTTAAAACGAAACAAACTGGTTAAAAATATATGCATAAGTGTGATATCGTTTAAATAAGAATTTAACATTAAATTATTTAAACAACAAACAAAAATATTTTTATTTTGTACTTTTTTTAGTACCTCGTATTAATTAGCAACCCAATCCCCATACCATTTTAAAAAATCCTACCGTAAATAACTAAAAAAAGACATAAATAATGTAAAATGAATTTGGAATCTTGTATTACCTTAAAATATAATTATATTACTTTTTCATTAAAAATTATGATTATTTTATGGTAACAAATATTTGGACACCTGCCCGAAATACACCATAGGCTGCAACGTCAAGGTCAACACGATAATTTCCTTCAGGAAATGCAGAAGGAGCTTTAAAACTATTAAGCGGAACTTTCTCAACAACCATATCACCCTGAAAAACGATAAAAATTATATTAAAAATTATGAAAATCTTGAAAACTATTGTTTTACCGAATAAGGACAACTATGATTAATATTTGTGTATGGCCTCCATATATCAAAAAACACATCAACAATCGGATTTGTTTTACCAGCTAAATACCTGCAAGTATCTATCGTCGTATTAATCACAAAAGGTTTGTAACCATTGGCTTTCTTCCACATAGTGAACTGCACCTAAAAATTTTTGTTTTGGAAGGGTTTTCGAATAACAAAGAAAGAAATAATAATTTTTGTTTTGTTTAGAATGAAAACATGTTTCTTAAACCATATATTATATATAACAGCTTACGCGTGACTGAGTAACGGGGGGTTTCAGAAGTTTGACGCGTAATGAAACATACTTCGTTGTTCTATTAAAGGGCTTTAAATGGCAGTAAGCAAAATATGCAAAACTTTTATCGTAATCAATACATTTAATACCAGTAACAACTATGAAATTTGACACCACACCGTTCTAAAAATTATGAAAAAATTTTTTTAATATTAGATCTAATATAACATTGGCAAAAATGATAACAAATATAATTGACTTTTTTAAAAATTTTTAATAATTATAATAAATTCCAAATATATAGGCATATAGTATAATAGCCCGTCTGCAATAAGGAAATATTTGCTAATGGTTCATAATATTATAATATATTGTACTGCAGTTCTAACCGAACATTGGACTATAAGACAGCATGGAGTCAGATTTGGACTTCCCTGTCGAATCTTTTGTGGTTTATGATACTGGTTTATGTTTGATTAGTCACGTTCGGACAAATATAAAGTTAAAAGTTTATACCTTGTACGCACAAGTTTCCAATATGGATGAATAAATTATTACACTAAAAAATATATAGAATGATAACATATTAACTACACAAATCTAGTATTCAAACTGAAATGATTTATTTAAGTCAATTCTGATATTAAAACTAGAAAACAGCTAATAATACTTACTAATATTTAAATTATACTTGTTATGAAGCGGAAAAATAAATACATAATAAGCCACAGATACTATCAATTTTATTTCAATTAAAAGATAACAATGAAGTGATTAAATTGCGTTACGAACTAATAATATTATATAATAATATTAAATACTTTCAAAAACGGGTTTTCGGATAGTAATGAATAACAACAAAATTTTATTTTTAATTAATTGAATTTTTTGATTGAGCATACAACTGATTTAATAATTCGCATATTATTTTTTAAAAATATTCGTTGGTTTTATAAGTCCATATCAAATTGTGGGATTACAACTGCCAGGCTTAGAACTTTGAACCTGTCAAATTAGAAGCAATGACTTCACAATTTTTAACCAAACGAGCCAAAAGTAAAGCTCGTTATTACCAGGAAGTCAAGCCAAGCTTTTCCTACTTTAGGTTTCCGGATCATTATAGTGTCTCTCAGACGAAAGTGGTCGCCATTACAGTAGCTATGACTTGTTTTAAAATGGATGATTTATTTGAAATATATACATACTATCAGACAATTAAGCTGGTTTAAACTCCTTGAGTTAAGTCCAACTTATATCTAGGATGATTCTTGATTGCTACCATCTCTAAACGAAATGTTGACGTAGCTCAATATATTTCGCTAATTCCCGAACCCTGATCATAGGGGTATTTTCAACAATTGCAGAGCAGACGAGCTAACCAGAAGGGGTGTTTCAAAACCTCACTCGGAACACCTAAGTAATCTAGGCATATCATTAATATCATTCAATTTGTTATTGTGTTCTTTCTGAGTTGAAATTTTTACTAAAAGATGGAAAGACTTAACGATATGCAGGCATCTGTATGCAATCTGTTCACTTTCCACTAAAAAGAAATCTAATATTCTCATTGTAATGCTCCGTAGAGATATCAGTACGAGTAAGTTTTACGTATTGTAAGTTTACTTACAGGTCACGGCAAATAAGGGAACCATATTAAAAGATTGAATTTCCCTTTCTATCACAGCTGTGGGGAACAATGAGAGTGCCTCTCATCTACTCTGCCTTTGCCCAGCTCTTGTACAGCGATAACTCAACACTTTCGGAGCTCCCTTTCCTGAGGATCTTGATCAATTACTAGTCCTCCCACTAAACAGCATTTTCAGCTTCGCCAACGGTTCTAAGTGATTTTAAACTCTAAGTTTTTTTCTATATGCGATAACAGAATGGGCCAATATGTATAAGTGGATCTCCTAGGGATCGCCGGTATTACCTAACCTTTGCTAAGGTCACTGAAGTGAAATGTAAAATTGAACAATATTTCTTTTTCGTTGTTACCTGAAATATTTTATTCTAATATAAAATACTTTCTTCCTACGAAAACTGTAAAAGTGTATTATAAAAATATTTTCTGAATGATATTATGTATTTTTAACCGTGGAAATTTGTCACATCCCTTCCCTGTCGATAACAGTTTAAAAATATAGTAATAACAACAACTATTGTTTTATATGAGATGTTAAAAAGTTATTTCCAAATAATTAATAAACAAACCATACACTCGAAAATTAAAACTAATTTATATAGCAAATCAATTATTTGCAAGCCAAATATTTATTTTCTATATACTCTTATCAGCACATATATCCTACTATATCACATATCTTACAGAAAAAGTTGTTTGTGTTATTCACATGAATTTAGAAAATTGGGTAAGAGAATAGCAAACGAATGCAGTTCGACTGAGTAACATCTTAGGTTGTAAAAAATCTGGAGAAAATGAAATAAATACAAATAAATATCTATGGTATAGACAATTAAGAACATCCACAAATATGTTCAGGTCACTTTTCTCAATATGGCTTAATATTTTTTTTTAATTACATTAACATGTTTTGAAATAATATATTTAATAACTTAGTTAATCTACTTATAATTTTTAATTATTTCTATTTCTAACTGTAAAATATTCCCTCTCAATTTTGTCAATGCATATCCCAGCTAATCTTTATTTTTTTATTTGTAAACTCCATTCAATAGGCAATTTGAAACATGAGTAACAAGTTTACTTACGCAAGATGCTCTTTTCCGTTATAAACTAAAACAATTTAATAGTTCAAAAACGTAAGTGAGATTATATATAGTATACTTTATATATATGATATATATACTCGCTATATAAGTGCTCTTCTCGCATCAACTCTCATATCTATGTGGACAATAAATAATTTGTTTAGATATTTAAATTCAATAACGTCTACATCATCACATTATTATATTAGATGTTGTAGTTGGTCACATTAAGTAGTAAGTATAGTTGTGAAAGACCTAGTCCTAAACCAACGCTATTGTGTTGTTTTAATATTGTAAATCGCAGTATTTTTTGATAACAGAACTATATCGTCATAGTTACTTGGTATATTTCGGTAGTCTTGGCGTTGTTTGTGAATCAATCATAAAGAATAAGCCGTTCAATCCGCATATTAAATAAAATTTAAAAATCTAATTTATAAATGTATCACTTTTTTTATACATCTCATTTAAATCCTTATTCATGGTTAACATTTATAAAACCACACTTATTCAGTTATTAAAGTTATGTTTATCGATCTTTACTTCAGATTATTGACTTTTTCTGTAGTTCATCATTTCTCTACCTATTACACTCTCTAAATAATTGTTTATTCATACTTTTTCTTTCCATTATAAAATTTTGTCTTGTGAGTGATATTACCAACTTTATTTTACTTCTATTGAAACCCAATATGACTTCGCATCTTTTATCTCTTATCGACTATGTCTCTATTTTTGAAGTGTTGTGTCAGATCGTACATAAATAGCAACTATGAAAAAACACATACTTTACTGTTGCATTTCAAAATTTTCCAAGTATTATTTACAAGCAAAACCGAAATAGCCTATTTTTGAATCATGGTTAACATAGTACTCTAAGAAGAGCTCATTTTTATTACAAGCTCCTAACGCATTTGTTCAATGTTGGCATAATACAACTTTGTTTGCATATTTCGTGATATTACTGTGATATCTCTTATAACTAGGAGTATCTTAAAACAGTAGTTTTTATATGCTTAATCCTAGTGCGAACGTTTATAATTCTTTATGAAACTGATTGATTAAATGCTTCCTACAGTAACTGCTAATATACGTGGACAGTAGTCATTATCATTAAGCACAAAAATGTTATTCTAATGTTATTATCTTATCTCACTGATCCCTAAAAGTGTGCATTTCTCACTAAACAAAAACAAGTTCATTATTATTAAGAACTGCCACTAAAACTAGCGTCTATTTTGATTATTTATAGAATCTAGATTGGTAGATTCTATTCAAATAGGTTTCCTTGATTCTCAAATGTAGCTGATTCCATAATTACTATTATTTAGTACTTCCTTCTATATTATTCAAACCGTAAAAAATCGTTAAATATGGTACTATGTCTACAGAGTGTCACTTTATGTTACTTATTAAAATAAACAGTCTATGTAAGTCCTCTAAGCCTCTTAAAATATATATTACTTTTAAACTCATAGGAAAAGAGTTTTTTTTATATTCTAGAAAATAGCTTTATGATTATTTTACTCAATAGAAATTTTAGGAGTAACCTATAATTTTATATATATAAAAATAGTGAAACAAAGTGAAAAGTATAGGTATGCAAATTTTTATTTATATATTTTAATTTTATAATTATTGTCAACTAATTTATGGTTACGAATATTTGCACGCCCGCACGAAGTACACCATAAGCTCCAACATCAAAATCAAACCGATATTGTCCTTCGGGAAATGTAGAAAGTGTTTTAAAATTTGACAGCGGAAGGTTTTCAACAAGCAAATCGGTCTGAAAGTATTATTTAAGAAATTCATTTTAAGAATTTAAAAATTGAAAAATTATTCTAAAAACTTAAAGCATTTCGGTAATACCATTCGTACTTTGTAAGGACAAGTGTGGTTAATATTCGTATTTTGCTTCCAGATATCGTAAAACCAATCAAAAATCAGATTCCTCCTACCTGTAAAATACCTACAAATATCTAACGTCACATTTATTACAAAAGGTTTATAGCCATTGGCTTTCTTCCATACAGTAAATTGTGCCTGAAATTAATTTTTAATAGTTATAATAAAGTACACCTTATCCTAAGAAACTTACATGCGCTTCGGTAACTGGGGGCTTCAAAAGTTTAACACGTAACGAAAGGGTCTTCGTTGT